CCCTCCGGGAAGAACAATTCCAGACGTGCTGCTTTTAAGATCTGTAGCACTCACCTCGAAGGTCTGCAGCTTCACTCCTGAAGCCAGTGAGACCAAGAACCAACCAGAAGGAAGAAACTGGGGACACACTATCTTTAAGAACTGTAACACTCACCGTGAGGGTCCACAGTTTCATTCTTGAAGTCAGTGAGACCAAGAACCCATCAATTCTGGACACATTATGAGGGAGACTGGGGAATGCAGTGGACCCTATGGAACCTGGGTGAACACTACCACTTTTATAACACACAATTGTTGCTCTGTTTCTTTTTCTTCCAGATCCTTTACTGTACAATCTCATAAGCGTGCTTGAAGAACAATACACAGGCAACTCCTGCTTGATATCTATAATCTGTAAGTCTATAATTTAGTCCTAAAAATGAAATATTCTATGTAAAAACACTAACTGGGGCCTATTTCTTATTGTTTTATGTGTGAAACCAAGGTAATGTAATATGCATCAAACTGAAAGCTTACCAATTTTCTAAATCATAAATAGAATTTATGAGAAAAAACTGTCAACTTAGAATACCAGAATTATAATATATGCTTCTCTGAATACCAAAAAAAAAAAAAAAAAAAAAATACTTTAGGCTTATTTTATTTTATTTTATTTTGATTTGGAGTCTCACTTGTCACCCAGGCTGGAGTGCAGTGGCACAATCTTGGCTCACTGCAATCTCCACCTCCTGGGTTCAAGCGATTAGCCTGCCTCAGTCTCCCAAGTAGCTGGAATTACGGGCACTGGGCTAATTTTTTGTATTTATTTATTTATTTATTTTAATAGAGACGGGGTTTCACTGTGTTAGCCAGGATGATCTTGATCTGCTAACCTCATGATCCGCCCGCTTTGGCCTCCCAAAGTGCTAGGAATACAGGCGTGACCCACTGCATCCGGCCCAATAATTTAGGTTTATAAATAAAAAATATTGGATGATGTAAGTGGGAGTGCAAGGCATCTACAGGTCTAATGAATTCAGTGGATCACCTACACGACCCATGTTCATTTCATCTAACTATCCATTTTCAGCGTTGGCTTTATCTTACTTTGGTAGAAAGACGGATTTGTAATTCCATAAATTATGCTCAGGAACAGCAGTGTCTAGAGAAAAGTTTGTAGTTTTCCTTTTCTGTAACTGTTTTTTAAGGAAAAAGTAAACTTTAATAAAAAACAAAAATGATAAATATGTATATAATAACAGATTCAAAATACGTAAAACAGAAATTGTCAGGACTAGAGGGAGAAAGAAATCCACAAGCAGCTGGAGATTTTAATACTTCTTTTTTAGTAATTGATAGAATAACTTGATAAAAAATTCATGATGATATAGAAGATCAGAAAAGTACTATTAACCATCTTGAGATAATTGATACTTATAAAACATTATGCTTTACAACTGCAGAATACGTATTCTTTTTCAAGTGAACATCTACCTTCATGAAGACATAATATGATGGAAAATAGTCTCAATAAATTTGAAACTACTGAAACCATACAAAGCATGTTCTCTGACAACAATTGGATGATGCAAAGAAATCAATAACGATATGATGTCTAGATAATGCCCAAATGTGTCAAAATTTGAAAACTGATAACGAAAACAAAACTTACCATAACTCATTGAATGTAGTTAAATCAGTGCTTAAAAGGCAGTATATAGCTGTGTTTATATAAAAAAGATAGAAAGGAAGAAAGAAAGGAAGTATGGAAGAGAAAGAGAAAGGAAGGAATCCTTGCTACAGCTAGGAGAAAAAATTCTCAAAAATGTATCTAGAAAAATATGTTATTCATGATAAAGAACTTTTATAACTCAATAATTTAAAAAAGACACATAACCTAATAAAAATGGGCAAAAATTGAACAGATACTTCAGAAAAGGAGATACATGAATAACCCAGTTACTTAACATCTTTTTTTTTCAACTTTTAAGTTCAGGGGTATATGAGCAAGTTAGTGATATAGGTAAACCTGTGTCATAGAAGTTTGTTGTACAGATTATTTTATTACCCAAGTATTAAGCCTAGTACTCAGTAATTCTTTTTTCTCATCCTCTCCTCCTCCTACTCTTCACCCTCTGGTAATCCCCAGTGTCTGATGTTCCCTTGTATGTGTTCATCTGTTCTCATCATTTACCTTCCACTTATAAGTGAGAATATGCAGTATTTGGCTTTCTGTTCTTGTGTTAGTTTGCTAAGGGTAATGGCCTCCAGCTCCATCTGTGTTCCTGCAAAGGATATGATCTCATTCATTTTTATGGCTGCAGAGTATTCTATGGTGCGTATATACTGCATTTTCTTTATCCAGTCTACCATTATTGGGGATTTAGGTTGATTCCATGTCTTTGCTACTGTGAATAGTGCTGCAGTGAACATACATGTGTCTTTATGACAGAATGATTTATATTTCTTTGAGTATATACCCAGTAATGGGATTACTGGGTCAAATGGTAGTTCTGTTTTTAGGTCTTTGAGGAAATACCACATTGCTTTCCACAAATGTTGAATTAATTGACACTCCTAACAATGGTGTATAAATGTTCCCTTTTCTCTGCAACCTCACCAGCATATGTTAATTTTTGATTTTTTAATAATAGTCGTTAGGACTGGTGTGAGATGGTCTCTCATTGTTGTTTTGATTTCCATTTCTCTAATGATCAGTGATGTTAAGCATTTTTTCATATGCTTGTTGGCTGCATGTATGTCTTCTTTTGAAAAGTGTCTGTTCATGTCCTTTGCCCATTTTCTTTTTTCATACTTTAAGTTCTAGGGTACATGTGCACAACGTGCAGGTTTGTTACATATGTATGCATGTGCCATGTTGGTGTGCTGCACCCATTAACTCGTCATTTACATTAGGTATATCTCCTAATGCTATCCCTCCCCACCCCACTCCCCATGATAGG